CCAAGGAATTTTGGGGATTTTTTTTTGGGGGGGGGAATTGGGGGCCCCTCCCCCCCCTCACCGTGGGGCCCCCCTGGGGGGCGGCGGCCGCGCCCCTCCCCCCCCCGGCCCGGCCCGAGCTGAATTCCAGAAAAGTCCGGACGGTGCTGCCCTCGAAATCTGGGGGGAAAAACGGGAATTGCGGGAAAAAACGGGAATTCCGGGAAAAAACGGGAATTTCAGGGGAAAAATCGGGAATTTCGGGAAAAAACGGGAATTTCAGGGGAAAAATTGGGAATTTCGGGAAAAAACGGGAATTCCGGGGGGAAAAACGGGAATTCTGGGGGAAAAAGGGGAATTCTGGGGGGAAAAACGGGAATTTCGGGGGGAAAAACGGGAATTTTGGGAAAAATCGGGAATTCTGGGGGGAAAAACAGGAATTATGGGGGGAAAAACGGGAATACTGGGAAAAAACGGGAATTTCGAGAAAAAACGGGAATTCCGGGGGGAAAAACGGGAATTTTGGGGGGAAAAACGGGAATTCCAGGAAAAAACAGGAATTTCGGGAAAAAACGGGAATTTCGGGGGGAAAAACGGGAATTTTGGGAAAAAATGGGAATTCCGGGAAAAAGCGGGAATTCTGGGGGAAAAATGGGAATTTCGGGAAAAAATGGGAATTCCAGGAAAAAACGGGAATTTCAGGGGAAAAATCGGGAATTCTGCGGGAAAAACGGGAATTCCGGGGGAAAAACAGGAATTTCGGGAAAAAACAGGAATTCTGGGGAAAAAAATGGTGATTTGGGGGTGGAAAATGGGAAAAAAAGGGAATTTTTTGGGGAAAGAATGGGGATTCTGGGGAGGAAAACAGGAATTTTGGGAGGAAAAATGGGAATTTTGGGGAATAGAATGGGAAAAAAATGGGAATTTTAGGGGAAAAACGGGAATTCTGGGGGAAAAAACGGGAATTTTGGGAAAAAAAGGGAATTCTTGGGGGGAAAAATGGGGATTTTAGGGGGGAAAATGGGAAAAAAATGGGAATTTTGGGAGGAAAAATGGGGATTTTGGGGAATAAAATGGGGATTTGGGGGGAAAAAGGGAATTTCTTTTAGGATTTGTGGATTTTGTTGGATTTCCATGGGATTTTTTTGGATTTCAACGGGATTTCAATGGGATTTTTTGGATTTAAATGGGATTTCAATGGGATTCTTTGGATTTCAATGGGATTTTTTTTGATTTAAATGAGATTTTTTCGGATTTAGATGGGATTCTAATGGGACTTTTTGGATTTAAATGGGATTTTAATGGGATTTTTTGGATTTCAATGGGATTTCTTTGGATTTCAATGGGATTTTTTGGATTTAAGTGAGATTTTAATGGGATCTTTTTGATTTCAATGGGATTTTTTGGATTTAGATGGGATTCTAATGGGATTTTTGGGATTTGAATGGGATTTCCACGGGATTTTTTTGATTTAAATGGGATTTCAATGGGATTTTTTTTTAATTTAAGTGGGATTTTTTTGGGATTTCGGGGTTTTTTGCCCCAAACCTGAGCACTGGATGCTGAAGTGGCAGCGGGGGCAGCGGACGCAGCCGGGGGCGCCGGGCCGGGGCAGGACGGAGCCGCACTCGGGGCAGAATTCCAGCCGGGATTGGAAGCGGGACTGGGGGAATTCCATGGCTGGGGAGGGGGGAGGGGTCAGGGGAGGGGTCCCAGAACCCCCCCAAAATCCCCTCCAAAAAAAAAAAACAAACCCCCACGAGTTTACTCAAAAAAAACCACAAAGTTAAAAATTTACCCTTTTAAAATCCAATTTACCTCACAAAAAACCCCAAATTTATCCTTTTAAAATGTAAATTTATCTCCCAAAAAAAACCCCGAATTTACCCTTTTAAAATCCAAATTTACCTCC